ATATAGTACATAATGGTGTCTGATAAATGAATATTTTTTCTTTCCTTATGATTCATAAAATTTTAATGATTTTTAAATATCACAAATAGCATTTTAAGAGGCAAATCATAAATAATATTCATTTAAGTCAGTCAGGTAAGCAATGATTACTGAAGTTGACAAATCAAACATCAACAGAAACATAAATTTGACTACAGTGGATTTTATTTTTTTGTGGTATTATGTGAGATCAATTTTATTTCTGCTGCATGAGTTCTAAAACAAGAATTATGTAATTTCAGTATTCATTTTTAAGAAAAACTTTTTCTCATTGAGTTTATTGGTACATTCTAGGTATACAGTACAGTTACATTCATCATTGGGATCTTGTATTCATATAAGCATATACACACTGTAGTTTGGATCGAGAATGTCCCTTAAAAGCCCCAGTAGTAAAGGGTAGGCCTTTAATGCTTTGGGGAGGTAGAGGGACCTTAAGAGATGGAGACCAGGCACGGATTCTGGTCAGGGGAGGCCCTCCTTTAAGAGGATATTGGGAGCACAGTCTTTTCCTCTTCCTCTGTTTGCTTTCTGACTGGCATGAAGTGATTGGGCTTCCTCCACCCCAGGTTCTGCCATGATATAATGTTTCATCACAGGTCCTAGGCAACAAAGCCAACTGATTATAGGTGAGAATGTCCAAAACTAAGCCCCCAAATCCTGCAATTTTTATGAGTTGATTTATCTTTATTGCAGCAATTTGTGACAATGATGAAAAGTTGACTAAGTCAATAAATAAGCTTTTCAATCAGAATTATTAAAATGGAGTCCAAAAGTGTTTATTAGTTCAATCAGTTAGGATGCCTTTGGTTGAAAGTAATAAAAGTTTTAAATTAAATGGACTTACATATTTAAAATAATTTATTTTCTCATAACACTAAAAAAAATTTAGAGGGAGGTGCTCTTAATCAATGTCCACTACAAGGGAAGAGTAAAAAAATATACTGAGAAATTTAAGATGTATTCTCAGTAGCAGCCAGAGATATTATGATATTATGGTAGAATTAGTATATACTGTCTTTTTACTAGATGGAAATGTGAATAAAAGAGTCCTTCTTTCATATTACCCAGAATCTACAGCACACTGGTATATAGTACATAATGGTGTCTGATAAATGAATATTTTTTCTTTCCTTATGATTCATAAAATTTTAATGATTTTTAAATATCACAAATAGCATTTTAAGAGGCAAATCATAAATAATATTCATTTAAGTCAGTCAGGTAAGCAATGATTACTGAAGTTGACAAATCAAACATCAACAGAAACATAAATTTGACTACAGTGGATTTTATTTTTTTGTGGTATTATGTGAGATCAATTTTATTTCTGCTGCATGAGTTCTAAAACAAGAATTATGTAATTTCAGTATTCATTTTTAAGAAACTCTTTTTCTCATTGAGTTTATTGGTACATTCTAGGTATACAGTACAGTTACATTCATCATTGGGATCTTGTACCTTTGTATGACAGGTCTTGGTTCTATTTTTTCCCCATTCCCCTAACAGTTAAAAGATGCTGCTACTGGAGTATAGGGTATATTTCTAGGTAAGATGGGAAGACAGCATCTCAAAATAAGTTGTCTTCTGCCATTAGATTACCTGACCAAGTTTATGTTATGCTTTAATAAAAAATAAAACTATAAAGAGTTAAATCACCTTAAAGTAAGGCAATTCTAAAGAAGTAGTGAGAGCTAAAAAAGGCTTCAAAACTTTTATTTGATAAATAATCCTAACACCAAATGCTTATTATGGTTCGCACTGATCTCCTACCTTTCATAAAAATTATTCACATACCTCTTGTGTGTTTGTTTCTCTTGCATGTTTGGACCTCAGTGACTCTGCTTTTAGTTTGGTGTCTGAGCATGAGTCTTCGCCTTTCCCCCACCATAGGCTTGATTTTGGCTTTCTATTAACCCACTGCTTTCCACACTGGTGTCCAGCCCTACAGGGATGAAGGTGAGAGTGGTGAGCACATGTGCTAAAGGTTGCTGTGGCTTTGGCTCATGGCTTCTATGGGTTACTGCAGTGCCTACTATCTTTCCCATCTGAGACTTATGTTTGGCTACTTATTCCTGTATCGTGAAAACACCATGAAAGAACGAACCATGAAATAATGTGGCATCATGAAGCAATCAGGATTTAGAGTTTGCTAACCTCCTCTAACTTCTCATTCTAAAATCATTTTTTGTGCCATCAAAGAGTAGGGAGCCAAGCACCAATTTTAAGACTCATTCACTGTTATCAGAGAAACAACCACTAATGCTAAAGTCTACAGCAGGCCTCATACCTCCCATTCTCAGGGAACATGTGTTGAACCAATAATGTCATTTTACTCATGTTAGAAAGGGCCAGTAACACAATCTTGTTAAATTCAACCCTTACCAGGCTAAGAAAAAGGGCACAGTCTTATGATTGGTGCCATTTTGGTTACAAATCCAAACATGTCCCCTTTG